AAAGTAGATGCTTAAGGATTTAAAAAGTTTGCAAATCTGGAAAGTGGAGTACTTATATGTTTACGTTGAAAAATTTGAGAGCTCGAAAATTCACAAACTTAAAAGATAAAAAATTGTAAAACTTGAAACTGAAAAATTTACAAACTATGCATACTACATAAGGAAGGAGATTACACAAATATAGCATGAGTCTAACCTATTAATATTATGACCACAAAAATACCCCGCGAGCCTAAGAATGAAAAGAACGCGTTCAATTCTGACAACGACATTTGTAAACATTTTCATGTTAATTTTAAGAAATCCGTCAATTTCCGAGAAAAACCTTTAACCTCCGTGTAAGTTCAATTAATATTGCATCGAGGGAACAGCTTCGTAAGGAAACTAATGAATTTTAACGCGTTACCTGCTGAGAAAGCATTACTACGTTCTTCGTACAGACAACTCCCTGGAAAACGCATTCATTATAAACTTTCTAATTTCGTGTTCACCGTTATTAGTTTTGTTAAGATAGCAAAGACCACCGGCTTGGAAAATATGTTTTTTTTTGTTCGAGTAAAGATCAATGATATAATGTATGTTTTCTTACTAATTTTTCAACGTACAACCTTTCATATATTTCAAATATGATAGGTTCACATTTCCATGTTTAAAATACGATTTCCTCGAAGCTTTTACTTTATGAACTACTCAACTTCTCGTTTGGAGATTACGAGAGTTAAGCGATGATTTGCATGAAAAATGGAGGATTGTTTTTTAAAGAGTTTGTCTTAGATTGTAATAGTCGTGTAGTATTCAATTATTTTATTTTTGTGTAATTTTGTTATTAACATCCACTGTTAATAAAAATTGATTTCATCTCTGTATTCTCAAATTTCTTATTTAACCACCTTAAGAAGTACATTTGATTCAAATGTAACTATAATTTGACTTAAGCGTGTAACTACTACTCAACTTAAGCGTTTGTAACTACAATTTGATTTAAGTGATTGTATGTAACTATAATTTACCCCCGATGCTTGCATGTAACTACAATTTGAGCTAACAAGTGTTGCATATAACTACAGTTTGGCTCAGCTGCCTAACTATAATTTACCTTAAGCACCTGCGTGTAACTACAATTTGACTGGACTGTTTGTACACGCCAGAAAAAAGTAGTTCCACAATAAATAAATGTTGACAAACACCGGAAATTTACAGTGGGAAACAATTACATCAGATTGTTACGTCGAGGAATATGTAAATCGTGGCATCGATCACCCCAGATCGTTTCAATGGTACATAAATTTTTCTCTTAGCTTATTAAAATAACGCGCACTGTATCACGGTGAGTAACTCGCGGTAATATGTCACCTGTCCATACCGGGACACGCAACACACGACCAAATTACCTTTCAATTCCATTCACGTGAACACCAACAATTTCTCATGCATCTTGTTACATTTTTTCAACGATTTCACGTCCTCGAGCTAAGAGAACACTCTGTTAATAATAGTCGGACATAATACGTTCCGGTAATTTTACATTCCACCCGCAATGCTAACCGGCAGAAATTTCTCTTTCGTTCGAAAAGCGAGAAGAGAGGAAGAAAAAATAAAGGAACGAGCAGTGGAGGTCGATCGGCACGATAATCAGCCTGATGCCGATAATCGTGGCAAATTACCCGGTCCGAATGTCGGTCGGCGCAGCGGAACGAAATAAAAAAAGAAAAAAGGAATTTAATTTAAAACCGCTGGTCCACGATAACGAGAATACGGATCATGCTCACCCAGGAAATTGTGATCGGAGATAATCGCAGTCCGGGGCAAGTGGGGGGCAGCTGTTGGTCGGTGATGCATAAGTGCATTGTTAATGGCGGGTCTGACGGCGAATGCTCGGGTTCCACGGAAGGGGCAAAGAATCTCTATTATCCTTCGATACACGGAACCGATCGACGATGCTTGTCTAGTTTATGCCGAGGCTAATTCGCCTTAATTAATACACAACATCTCCTACTGTCTATCAAAGATCACGCTAACCTGTCACCGTTCTCCTTTGCACAAGGGATTCTCATCTCGATTTTGATACCACTTCGATCATAATATTATTTATCTATTTATTGGTTTCATAGCTTATATGCACTCTTTAATTTCTGTTACCAACTACGGAATGTACAAAATAGATCAAGGGGTTCTGAATTAAATTGCACAGTATGTGACAAATCTTTTGCATTTGCAAAAAGTCACAACTGTAGAATCATCAATTTTAGTTAAACTTGATCTGATGAGTTTGGAGCAGTGAAATCATTATTGGTATAATAAATTAACGTTTTTAATTCGAGACATGTGATATCTTCAGATCTCTTCAGTAGTATTAGTATTACTTCCAAAATATCCCACAAATAGAAGCATTCAACTACCTCAACACAGATCTGAACACAATATTCCTCGTATTATGAAAAAATAAATATACAGACTGTTACGATAATCTGAAGTAGCGAACCTCCTTAACGACGTGATTGAACCAATAACTCTAGTTACCGTACTCCGGGATAATAATCGACGAATTAGATGGTTATTAGCGCGGTGTGCAGTATTATCCGCGCCGTGAAAGCACCAGAGCGCTATTATAAAGAGCCGCAGCCACCATTTACCGTATCCTCGTAATATTTCGCCTCTCTGTTGCCGGTAGCTTCCACCGTGTGTGTACGCCGGCGTGTGTTCCGAAGATTCATGGTATCGAAAGCGGTAGCACGGACCACTATTACTCCATTATACAGTTTGCGAGCGGCACGATATAAATTCGATGCAAATTCCTACCGTTCGAGTCGTGAGAATCATCAATCATGGTTAGACTCGATCGGTTTGCTGTTTTCGGCGCGTTCATTATGAAACTTATATCACTTTCAAACGGTTCTCTATCCGATTCGAAAGAAGCTAATTCACGCCGAATTCGCGTTTTCAATTAAACTGATCAATTATTATATAATGTTTATCGTGAACATTTTCAACAGTTTATTGGTCAGTTCGATTCTTGAGCACTGCGTGAATTGTTTATTTTTAAGGAATTATTATTTTTACAATAGAATTTCTAGGGAGAAATATTGGAAATTTTAAAAGTGAACAAGTTTTATTTTTATAACAGTTAATACATTTTGCTACTAACATCCAGTGTACAATGTACATGTTCTATCGATAAACTTTAAACATCTCACCTTGATCGAATTACACGGCGTTCAGAAAATTTTACTGTATCAACTTACTTCGTAGCTTTCAAGCATAAACGGAAAATATGGAAACATTTCTTGGTACCGTGCAAGATTACCACATTCTGAAGTTCAAGGTCAACGACGTGTTAGTTGCATTGTAAATAACGCTATCAAGTTGCGGTAATCAGCCGTAGACACAATTATTGTATCAATCGAAAGGAGTCTGACGTACTCGATAACCTCGATTCTCCACGTCGACCTTTCGAAACAATTGTAGGTTATTCGGTACGAGACAAATTCCGGCAGTTTCGGGAGCAGGGGGTAACGTTGTGCCGCGAGCACGATTCGCGATTTATGCCGTGAAATGGTTGAAATTACAGTAATCAATGAATTGGCATTTCCCACATCCAGGGTGTCGGGTGTAATACGTTTGCCGTGCAAAGGATATCTCGATGGCTGCATAATGCCGCGGTGTTAGAATGATGGATAGACGTACCTATCCACCTAGCTTACACCGTGCAGCCATAGTCGTTGAAACAATTATTAGAGCGGGTGCCAAGATACGACATAGAACGACCACGTTGGTATATCAGGCTCTGGCCTTTTCGTATTGGTAGATCACGCTACCAACATTTCGTAAAACCCTGCCGATAATGGCACCCTAATGCGCGAAACGTGTTTCGATTCTCGTGAACTGGACACGCATTTATTTTTCAACGCCATCTTGGTCAACGGTGACGTGTTGTGAACCACGCTGGATTGTGGAACACAAATAGAAGACTATTTTTGTTTTCTCTTACTGATCGAGCTGCTAGCGTGTTCAGAATTATTTAAGTCACTTTTTATGAAATATGTTTTATAAATATAATTGAGCATGTCATAAATTGACTAGTTTTTATGATTAATTATTTTAAATTAGATACTTAGCTGCTGGAAGTTAGTTCATATAAATAGTTCTACGTTTGTATTAGCTGTTTCAATTTAGTCAGCTTTTATAATTAGTCTGTTTTGGAGCTGTTAGTAGGTCAAGAAATAAATGGACGTTTATCACGTCGAAATACGATGTTTATGAGGTTAAGACAATGTCAAGGCGAAACTTATAATTTATCTTTTTTCTGGGTACAGGGATATGAACACATCCAAGACTAATAAATTAAATTTGTTACATCTGTCAACATAAAAATCGGTAAAATTTCCAAAATATTTATTTGGTCACAGTTCCTGTACATTGAAAATATATGTACACATTTCATATTTGTTAAAATAAGCACTTAGAAAATTATTAAAGGTTACTGGTTAATTTAGTTTCATCACAGAAAAGTATTTCATACTTTCAACAAAATATGATGTTGAAGATAAGTACCTTCAACACGAAGACTGGTAGCAACACATTAGTACCTTATTCTTTTCGTCTATTTTTAGCCTTCATTTCTAATTTCTAAGAACTACTTTAAGAAATCCGGTGACATCCAGGAAACGTGACTTATGTTTTCAGCCGTCAAATTCTATGAAAAATTAATGAACTTTGTTGCAATCTAATCGTCGCGTTAACGAAGTCGATCTCTTGACCTTCGATTAAGATGAACGGAAGAGAAACGCGTTTCGACCGAAAAGTTTCGTAATGTTTGTTTATTTCTTAAGAGGCTTACAGAGAGTGTGTAGTAACGCGTGAGTACATGATTTTAAATTCCAATCGATCGGACGTATGGAAATTCATAGTACGTGGAATAATGTGACGGAGATTATGTAAGGTTATCGATATGGCGGCAATAAAAACGCTGATGGGAGTTGTATATAAGGTTAACCGACGCGGTCGAAATCGTCAGTTTAAAAAGTTTCAAACACGAGGAAACATGGCGAAATTCTTTGCTTTTCTTTTGCTGCTCGCCTTCGTTTGCTTGTTAAGCGACGCTGCTTCCATTAAATCTGGTGAGGATGATGCCATTGGTAAGTTCTCAGAAATACATTTCCTATTTTTGATAGGACGTGAGTTCCAATTTGATATGTATTCTAAAGTACAAGTACATACGATTAGTACCTAATGTTTAACACTTATTGTTAATATTTTGTAGAGGAAGGAAGGAAATGCGTCTCGGGTGCAAGTTACTACGACGGATGCAATTGGTGCCAGTGTCATCACGAAAGACATATCAGCTGTACTTACAAGCTTTGCACAGTATTAAATCCAGAAACTGGTAATATGGAGCAAGCCAAATTGTTGCCACCTCCTGATAGTTTTTGGGCGAAGGATTAATGAAATTAATTCTATTTAATTTATTTTAATTAATAAATTAAACTATTTGAATAAGATATCATAATTTGAAACAAAGAAGTTGTTGTGATTTAATAATAGATTTTATTTTGCACCCTCAATTTATCTTTTCGTATTCAATCACCCTTCTGACTTCGAACGTAAATTTCTGCTTTATTTTTAAGAGTTGCGCGCTGCGATTTTGCAAAATTATTTCTTCCGGTGCGTTCTACGATCGCGCAAAGTTTGAACGAAATCGAAGTTCGTGCGATCTCCTCGGAAGATCTGAAACGAAAGAAATCGAAAAAAGGACATGAATTTTTTTTCGCCGGTAGAATCCCACGGGCATGGAGGTTGAGCACCGCGGTTACACCGTCTTGGTTGAACCATGGACCAGACAAAAGATCCTGGTTCTCACGACCACGCCCTCTCCCCGCCGCCTCTGCACTCTGTAGACGGCGGCAATGCCTTCACGAAGGTACCTATCCACCGGAAATTCTTCAAGCAGCGGCTCCTTCAACGCTGTGTACACACATGTGTATACCCCTTTAGGTGTGTACAGAACGAGGAACGAACGGTGTGTGACCTCTCTTCCAACTTCTCTCGCGAGACGATAATAAATGGCCGGCTACGAATGTACCAACCAACGAAACGCGGGGGACGTGTCTAAAAATGCATACTCGATAGATAGTATTCAGCGTACAGCGTCACTTTGGTGTGCTATCGAATTTCTAAGCGGCTTCAGGCCATACTGATTCACCATGCGAATGTCGAAGACCCTTGACCCTCTTCTTCTTCTTCTTCTTCTTCTTCGTCTTCTTCGTGGGTTCCAATTGGCCGGTAGAAAAAGCTGCCTTATGGAACGGATATGCCTGGCATCCGGGGAATGTCGCATGAAAACAGACTCACACCGAATTCTCCGTGAACCGAGAAGGGTATATTGATAAAAATTCCACGAATGGCGCGAATTCGTAACCGGCTACCTTCGCGTGATTCCTTGTTTAACGATTTTCCGTTCGATCCGAGGTATCTTGGCTTGGGAATCAAAGGCGAACCGATGAGTAATGGCTCCCGGTCAACTGGCTGACCCATCCACGGCGACAAGTCGTTTAACTACCGGCTATATATTATAGCTAAGCATTATCGTTATCAGACCGAATCTCGCCGCGTTACTTGCTAATAATGCTGTCTCCTTCGAGTTAACGTGGGAAGCCTGTTTTAATGACTTCGAAACACATTAAAGCAGGGTCTGAACCGTGGCGAGGCAAAAAGGAGAATTTCCTTTTGCCATTTGCGTCGGGTCGTGGGGAATAACAGTCGTAATCGCACAACGCTAACCTAAAAACGTTAAAGAATATGCCCGGCTGCGGAATCACAATATATATAAGGAATATTGTCTCAATGATCATATAATCAGGTCCATATACCCAGTTCACCAGCATCTCATCCAAATAAAAAATATGGCGGCATTAGTGACGTGCTCATACGTATATCAGTACGCAGGATGTTCCATACAAAACGACTCAATTATCCTTCAAAATATTCATATACAAAGAAATGTCCTAGACGAAAATTACGTGATTTGAGAGAGCAAATTGTCTGGTGAAGATGGCTTTCTTCTACAAGGTCGGAGGTATGAATGTCAAGTTTGTTTACCTAACTGAAATTACATATGTAAACATATGGACTCAACACGATAAGCATATGGAATTAAATAAATCTTGTACAAATTTTAAATGAACTTTATACGTATTTCAAATAAATTTTATATGTATATTTTTAATAAATTTTTCCACATATATTTGATCAATTTTATACATACTTTTAATAAATTTTTCGACATATGTTTGATCAATTTTATACATACTTTTAACAATTTTTTTCACATATGTTTGACGAATTTTGTACATTGCTTTTTTAGTCAATTTTATGCACTTTTTTTAAAATGAATTTTATGTATATATTTAGAGATAAATTTTGTGAATATTTTTAAGGAATAAATTTTTGATTTAATTTTGTGTAACGAAATCGTGCTATTTGGTCGAGTTCCCATAATTGTGAAGTCACCCTGTGCCTCACCTTGGAACGGTAACCTCACCTATGAACCCGCGTGATCTCTCACCGAGGCGAGAGAAAAAAAGGACGATGATCGTGCGTTACACGATGACGAAACGCGCGTTCTACACCGGTGATCACAGGCCGGCCTTCGTGAATCATCGTCGGACAATAAAGCGTTTAGTAGGCAATAAAAGTATTAAACGACGAAAGCCGCAGGATTTATGGGGGTAGTTTTGAAATCGAAGTTAATCAGCTAACGAAACTGTGGTGTAATTAGTGTATTTGAAAGTGAAGTGAAATTAGTTAGTGGAATGATATTTCTTTTCAAATATGGAAAATGGTAAAATACCATTTATGTACTGTGCATAGATAGAATTATAAATCTGCATTTTCATCATTCATATAATGACATCCCACGTTGTCTGAAGGACATAGAGCGTGATATACTTTCTGTATCTCATATTAGAGATCTAAATTTTTAAAGTTTCCAAATTCTTTAATTCTCATATTTTTGCAAATTCGTAACGTTCCAAATTTCTAAATTTCCCAATTCCCAAAGTTCAAATTCCTCAATTCCTCAATTCCCTAACTCCCCGATTCCTCAATTTCCTAAGCATCTTAATTCTCCAATTTCCAAATCATTAAGCATCTTAACTCTCCAATTTCCCCAGTTTTGAAATTTCCAACTTTCCCCAAATCCCAATAGATCCATCAATCCAAACAACTACTCTTTTGACTCCACAATTTCCATATACCGTCATATTGTGTGTATGACCATAAATTAGTATTATTTATTGAGAACGAATTGAAAAGAAGATTGAACGAAAATAGAAGATACCGACTGGCATTATCAGAGTGAACTTACCAGTGTGGGTTCTCTTGTGCGCCTTCAGGTGGGAACTCTTCGTGTACACCTTGTCGCAGCCCGCCACGTCGCATCTGTGAACTTTGCGTCGTTTCAATGCGTCGCCGCATTCGCTATCGACCGGTAAACTACCGCCGTTTCCTCCGACACCGGCGTTACCTCTACCACCGATCCCGATTCCGGTTGGACGTTTGTGAAACACCCTGAAATTACAACAAATAATTTATCCCACGAAACACTCGAATGGCCGATTCACACGAACTCAAATAAATCGACAATAATATGAAAGCTTATGATTGTGTTAATACCCGACATCGACAAGTTCGATATTTTCATGTTACTGTGAAATACCTCAGAAGTACAATAAATAATTTACCATATGAAACTTCCAAGTGAACGATTCAGGTAAATTGACAATTATATGAAAGGTTAGAAAAGGCGATTGTTGCATCAACGACCGATATTGACAAGCTCGAAATTTTCCTGTTACTGTGAAACACCTTGGAAGTACAATAAATAATTTACCATATTAAACTTTCAAGTGAATGATTCAGATAAATTGACAATGATATGAAAGATTAGAAAAGGTGATTGTTGTATCATCGACCGATATTGACAAGCTCGATATTTTCCTGTTATTGCGAAACACTTTGGAAGTACGATAAATAATTTACTTCACAGTATGGATTACAATATAGGTTGCATTGATTGTTCAGATAACTGATATCGACACGGGTACTAAACACTCTATATTTTCTTGCTACTGGGGCTCCTACGTTCAAATTTACGAAGTCACCTCTAAAATTTGAAAAGGTACAATTCTTCAAATTTGTATATACATAAAGTAACAAAATAACAAGTTCAGACACTTCTGACTTTAATTTAAAAATTTTTAATATTATAAATTGTGTAATGGACAAATTGTAAATGTTCCGAGTCTGTGTCTACTTATTTATATCAACGTAAAAGTTTGATACTCGTGAATATATCATCGACACATTTAAATTGCGTAATTGACAACTTAACAAGCTTTGAAGTCTGTGTCTATTTGTTGATGTCAACGTTTTGATTATGATTGAAGTTTATAGCTCGTGAATATATCATCGATATTGAATAAAAGGGTGAGATAAAAAAATTGGAAGAATGATTGACCGCTGTGATTTCGATTCAGATATGGATAAGACGTCTTCATCGTTATTTCATCGTTGAGACTTGCAGCTATCGACAAACAATCCTTTTATTTCTCGTTCTTCCACTCGTATCCAGAGAGAATCGACAAATCGGACCAGGTTTACCATGGATTTATACAGAAAGTTTTTGGCATGCATTATTCATTGATCAATGTATTCCGATGCGTTATGACCGGTTTGATGAAGAACGAGTGAAATTGCTTGCTGCATAAAACAGCTACTGAAAGAACGTACCTGGAGACACGTATTCGATAAAAAGAATATATCCATGAATAATATCATGATCATTGCAAAGAAATGTGAAGAAAAGAGGAGGAAAACGTTCGTACAGTTATGTGAAATTTTTATATTTTCTCGATGCTTCGTGACTTAAAATATTTAATCGGTACGAGTTGGTAATGTTTCTTCACACTGAGACGAAGAAATGATATCGTTAGCGACTGTCAAGTTTTTATGTCTTTAAATTTATGTATTTTTTAAATTATAAATTTCCTAATTATCAAACTCTGACTTTCTTACATTTAAAAAGTTTGGACTTTTGGAATTCCGACGTTCTCAAATTTTTACGTTTCCAAATTTCTAAGTTCCCAAATTTTCATATTCCCAAATTCCTGTATATTCAAATTCTCAAATTCCCAAATTCCCAAATTTGCAAATTCCTGCACCCCCTAATTCCCCAATCACTAAATTTCCAAATCTCCAAATTCCAAAATTCCCAAATTCCCAAATTCCCAAATTCCCAAATTCCCAAATTCCCAAATCCCCAAATTTCCAAATTCCTGCACCCTCTAATTCCCCAATCACTAAATTTCCAAATCTCCAAATCTCCAAATTCCCAAATTCCCAAATTCCCAAGTTCCCAAATTCCCAAATTCCCAAATTCCCAAATTTCCAAATTCCCAAACCCCAAATCCA